AAGTGCAAACAAATGCAGCAAATATGAAAAAAAAAATCCCGATACCACTTTTTAGATCATTTGTTGCCTCTTTAAAAGCACACATCCACATATTTATCTACATTCAGTTAGGATTTGCACTGAGGAAATTCTTTAAATCATTCATACGATATGGATATCAAACATAAATGGGTAGGATAGTTCATATCCATTAAAACATGGATATGGGATTTCGAAATGAACTTTAGATTGTTACTTTTAATTGTTTCATTAACCCAGTATCTAAAAAAACAGTCCAAAAGTTTTCCCAGAAAAATTGCTGTGTTTCTGCTTTTTCAAAGTACAGATATTAGGTAAGTTTTGAATTCCTTAAAAAAAACAAAAACTGGGCTTTTCTATTAAGGTAACATAGAATCAAATGCTTTATTGGTTGAATACTGTGCTTTTGAGACTGCATGAAAGTAATTTTTCCCCCCAATTCTTGATAGGGCTAGGAATGTATGAAACACCTCTCTTTCTTGCCCATGAAGAAGAATCAGGGGGTCGTAGTGTCCCAACAACTCCACTACAAGTTGCAGCACCTGGTGAGCTCCGTTTCTACAGATCATGCATTCCTAATAGTGTTATTAGAGCAGAATGTTTGTTGACAGAAATGGAACTATTTGGTGGGAAAACAGATGTTGATGCTTTTCAGTGTTCAGAGAAACACTAGATCAGCGGATCCAAGTTTATTATCACATAACAAAAAGTGTAGTTTATGACACTCTAGTTTCCTCCACCTCCTCTGATGCTGTGTCTGTTCAAAAATAGATATCCGTGTTTCATGTAAAACCCTACAAATCCCTAATTATGATTGATTCTCTCTCCTACCCCAAAATCAACATAAAATTCAATCTTGGTCACCTCAAGGCAGAAGGCCATTGCTTTACTACCGGAGACTTGTAAGCACAGACTACAATTTTTCTATAATGGCACATGCCCTGAAAGCAGTAAAGGTGTTTTTATTGAATTTGTAATACAGGGATAAGCAATTTTTGGGAAGCTAGGTTCATTTTTAACTTTTTATGAGAGTCCAGGAATCGTGGTTGGAGTTGGTATGAAATTTGAGAGTGCTGGGCTTAATTTGAAGCAATGTTAAACCTTTTCAGGGACTTGGTAAGATGCTACACTTTAGGTGAATAGTAATAGGGGCTACAGAAGTACAAAGGCAGTTGGCAGATTTCATATTTTGATGATGCCAATTGTTCTGACTGGCAAGTAACAGAAGCAAGAATGTTTAACAATATAAAGATACATAATAACACACATTTCTACTTTCCAAATGTGGGTGGTTTTTTTTTTACTATAGCGTTTTTTGTAATGGGGAGAGAGAAAGCATCATCTTGGGTAGATTTGGCTTACACCGTTCTCCCCCATTTTCAGTGTCTGTATTTACTGAAAGCACCTCTGCTGATGCTTCCGAGCACGCCTCCCAATCTGTTCCAATGGTTACAACTTCCACTGGTAACTTATCTACCACTTCAGAATCTGGAACAGGTGATGATGGTGACGAGGTTTTTGTGGAGGCAGAATCGGAAGGGTAAGTTGAAGTTTTCGGTTCGCTACGATCAGGTTTGGCCTGCAAAAGCACCTGAACAAGATAGGTACAATCTAACTCAGGGATGTCAAACTCGCGGCCTGCGGGACGCGCTGGCCACGCCCACCCCTGGTTTAGCGAAGGAGGAAAAAGTTGTGATATGTCACATGATGACAGTGTGTTGACACCCTTGATCTAACTGAAATGCTGACGTTCTGATCATTCATTACCTATCACTGAATCTTTTGCGTTTTGAAAACAAACAATATGGTGGTTTTACCTACCAGAATATTCCCATTTCTCCAAGAGTAATATACTCTTAACATCTGTTTGGACTTTGTTCTGGCAGAGCCACTCTACTTTCCAGTCTGAGAGCACTCTTAAGCCCAATCTGTTTGGATAGGAGGTTTTGTGCCATAACAGATGGACTGCCGAAAGCAGAATTTCAATTATCCATTCCTGGCCAGAATGACTTGCATCTGGACCTGTGGCATTCTGCCAAATATTTATTATAGTAGTAGTCCTTATGAGTTGCTTTTCCATTTTGATCCCTCTGCAGGAATATAATCCCTATATAAAATTGCCAGAGGGATCCAGGGAGTGATTTGCAAGTTCACTAGGCTCATAATAGAAAATAACATCGATTAGCATTCTAGTTGAAACTAGTTCTCTTCTGATATTGAGGATATTGAAACTTAACAGCAGATAAAATTAGGAAGCACAAGTAAATGTTTTGGGGACGTTTCTATGCATCTGAGTTATTTTTCTGTTCTTTTATCCAACTTTGTTGCTCTGACTAAGGCTAAGTATAGTTAATTCTTGATAATTATGTACTTTGTTATTGATCATAATGTGGCTATAGAGCCACTTGAAGTAATTTTGATAGATGGACTTGATAACTTCATTGCTAAGTTTTCCCAGTGTTCAGTTGAGCTTTTTTAAAAAACTGACTAAATTTTCTTAGAGCAAAACACCACTATTATTTTGCTCAACTGTAATAGAAATAGTCTCAATACATATTACTTGTAGTAAAAATTAGCAGAGAACTAACGCAGAACTGGAGAAAACCAGTGAGAGATTTACTTCTGCGCTTCCATTTTTTTCTTATTCCACCATTAAAAGGAAATAAAAGTCTCCATACTAGTTCTCACAGATATGGTAAGTGTTACTTTGCTAGAACAATAAAGATGAAATTCAGGTTTCACCACTGAATATGTCATCTCCTGTGCCATCACTAGGTGTGGGTGAACATAAAGTGTAGGCTGCTTCCAAAGTTATGGTGGTTTTCTGAGTAAAATTAAGGTATTTCAGAGGGCCTTAAAAGCCTGGCTATTCTCCTGGGGTTCTGTGTTTGTATATATTTTTTGGGTTGTTGTTGTTCCTTTTGTTCTAGAATTTCTTCAGAGGTAGGTCTAGACATTGATAGCCAGCAAGAGGAGGAATCATCTCAAACTCCTGATGAATCAGATCTTCCTTCTACCAGTCAAGATCCTCCGTCTAGTTCATCTGCAGGTATATATAACTCCATCAAATCTTGGATCTATGGAACCATCATTGGAGTACAGGTAGTCCTCACTTAAGCACTGGAAGTTGTGACAGAGCCCCCAAAAGCTACTTAGGATCCAGTCCCCGGAGTTCCAATGGCTGCATACATCCCAGTAGTCAACATGACTGCATTTCAGATGCCTGTCACCAGGCTTATCTATATGTCTGGTTGCAACATTTTGGGTCATATGATCATGATTGCCAGTTTCCAAAAAAAAACCCACCCATGGGAATATATGGATTCACTTAATGATTGTGGCATTCACTTAACGACTACCATTAAAAAAAAACATAAAGCTGGGTGTGGTCAGGTTTGACTTAACAACTGTCATGCCTTGACTTAACAACTGTCATGACTCATGATGGAAATTCTGGTCTACGTTATGATAATAAATTGAGGACTACCTGTACTTATGAATTTTTATTGATATGGGACATCAAACAAAGAATAATTGAGCCCCTGATGGTTTTGTATTTCTCCACCATTTCAGCTTTTATTGTAGAAAAGATTGCAGTCTGTGGATATGAAAAGGAAGGATTCTCACTAATCACTCTCTGTAACTTAAAGATCCATTTGGGCATGAACTCTGATCATCAATCCTCCAGATGTTTGACAAAACACTTAAAAAAAAAAACTTTACAGGAGTTTGCTTGTATTTCCATTCATTGAAGTTCCATATAAAAACAACCATTCACAAAGTTGCATATAGAAAAAACTACAAAGTTGCATATAGAAAAAAACCAGCCACTTATTTTCTAGTTAAATATTTTATTTGTTAAAGCCACACAATCCTGCAGTACAAAAATCAGGTGGTACCTTAAGAAAATCGATGCCCCATTATTTCTTTTCCAGATACAAGCAGCAATCATCCCAAACCCTTCCGACGCGTTAGACTTCAGCCTCCGACCTTAAGGGCTGGAGTTCGTGGTCGTCAGTTTAATAGACACAGGGGTGAGTATATTTCAATCCCAGTGGGGCTTAGTTAAATAAGTTGCATTACTTACTCTTGAAAAAAATGAAGTATGCATACAGTGTAGAAATTTTGAAAAATGTAGGACCCCCCTGCTAGCTTACATGTTGTAAGAGAAGGAATGGCAGAACCTGGGGGCGGAGTGAAAAGAGGAATCAGCCTGGAATCCCTACGTAGCCACAAGTAAACTAGGTCTAATCCCCCTTAAATGTCATTGACCCTTATCTAACTTATGCAGGTGATGACCCTTAATTAAGAAGATTCCTGGGCATAGTGATAAATCAGCTTAAATGATCCTTCACATTTGTGCTTGACATGTATATACCAACTAAGTTAGTTGTTTCAGTTACGAAGAAAATGAAAACATTTAAAGAAGATCAAGAACAGAGTGCAGTAAAGAGATATGACTCATAGTAAATACAAAAAAAAAAAATACCTTACATGGACAAAAAAAGAAATAGTGATTTCTAAGCTGAAACTTTTTTAAAATTGAAAACCCTGTTAGAAGCAATATTTTCAATGACTTGAAGCTGTTTGTCTTAAGTATGTATGTTAATTCCACTTAATGGTAACTTTAAGACCTCATTTTTACTAATCATACTGCTGTAATTCCCAGAATTCCAAAAACCTGTTCCCATTAATATTTGAATGAAGTTTAGGATATTCCCCATTCAGCTTCCAGAACGAGGCTTGGTTAAGATGGGTGTAATGGAACAGAATTATCCATTCCAAATTGTGGATGTGGTGGCTGTGATATTCAAAATAAGATATGGAATGATTATTTTACAGTAATAATAGTGGCAGAGAAATTCTTGTAATGCAGATAGTTAAAATATCAAAAGGCAAAGGAACATTCATTGAAAGAAAAATATGTAACTGCTGTATCTTTCTTGCAGGTATAACTCATGCAATGGGTGGCAGAGGAGGCCTGAACAGAGGCAACATTAATTAAATGCTGTACAAATTTTGGAATTGATGTATACGGTTTAGTCTGCCTTTCTTCTGCATTAGTATAATAGCTGCCAAGCTTAAAGCAGTCTTTTTTAAATGTTAAAAATGATTGTTGTATGTACAGTTGATTGTCTTTATTAATAAAAACTAGAGAAACTGTCACACAAAAGCATTTCTTTCAGGTTGGTTGAGTTTCCAAGTTATTATGCAGGACACTTGTACCAAGCATTGGACACCGTCTGCCCAGTTTGCGTTGTAACTGGTCTTGCTATTCTGCTGCCCACATCCAAGTTGTAGTAGTTATCTGAAAAGGAATGGAATGGGAGAACAGGGTTGTTAAAATCACACTACACAAGTATTAACAGTTGAAAAACAATTGATCATGTAAATCCTCAGTTCAAGATAGGCCTTTCTTTCCATGCAATTTCAGTCATTTGGAAAGCGGCCGTAAGACAGTTTCTCCTGTCTTATTGCAGAGAAAACCTTGGTGTCCTTCATAGATTCCTCCAAGGGGACAGATAGCATTGAGCAACTCAAGCGATTGTAAGATGAATGGGCTAAGGTATATTTGCCCATTCATTTATCTGCTTACATTGGGGGACATGGGTTGAATTTTCAGTAAGATAAAAACCCTAAAATATTAAGTCAAATCAAACCAGGACAGAGAAGGGGCTCATACTTATTTTTTGGAATTTATAAGGCAGCCTAAGGTTTCCTTTCAGCAACAGGCTCTTTAGACAATAGAGGCTTCCATCCAAAAGATCAGGGAAAGAAACATTATGTATCAAGCAGCCCAGTGATGTTGTAACCATGCTAGACTTTTTAAAGAATAAAGGAGGATGGAAAAAAACCTCTTGACCATTTTACACTTGTAAAAAATAAATGCAAACTCTTCCTACCTCACCTTTTGTTTTCTACCCAGAAAGGACAAATGCTAGCCAACTATCGTCCTGCTAGCATTTATCTATCTATTATCTATTGAGATAAAGGGTTCTATGGAAAGCAAAATATCCAAGATCGGTTGCAAGCCTGATCATAGGATTGAATTTAGTATCCTGTATAATCCAGTGTTGTCTGATTTTATATCTCATACAAAGTCATGTTTTTCTTTCAAATTTGTCATGCACATTTTGGCTAACACCTAATTTAAAATTCCTGTTTTACTTACCATGCTAAGACACAGTGGCTATCAGAAAGTGAACAGTAACATTATTGCGTTATTTTGAATAGGATAAGTTATATAAAGGCATATTTCTCCAAAAATCACTGTAAGACAGTAGTTCTAAGCTAAACAAATAGAGCTGAACCTTTCCATCCAATTTCTTTCCTGAACAGGTGGCAACATTTTTCTCAGATGGCCAAGCAAGGTCAGATTAATACTACAAGTACTCAGAATTTTAGGGTTGTATACACTAGGAATTCTTTAAAAGCTTTCTGGAAGAAGGTAATGGCAATCCACTTCTGTAACTCTGTCAAGAAAATTCCATGGATTTGATTCTCAGGAGTCATGCCAGACTTGAGGACTTTTACTGGGTTTCTTGATCATCTTTGTGTGCAGTACTTAACATCCTACGAAAGGATGCAGTTCCATTCCACTCAGAGAGATCCATTATCAAGTGTATGTTATATATACATACAATAAAATGGGCTGTAAAAATGGTTACTCAGCAATTATTTCACATTTTAAATTCATATAAACCGCATCTGTTTTTCTGCTTAAATAATTTCTAAAAATGGAATACTCATACACAATTAACATTTTTCACTCGCCTTTCAAACCTCTATTTTTGTCCAGCTCTTTAAACTATTTTAAGGAGAGACTAGAAATGTGGTAAATGCGGGGCTGAAACTTCTGAAACTGAGGATCTCAAGAAAAGTACAAATAATCTTATGAGAAACAGCCTCAAATAACTGGCAGCATCTGAAGTCATAGCCACAACATACCTTTAGCAAATGCATAGTAATCGTATCCATCCCCATTCTCCTCATTAGGAACAGAAATAGCAGAATTAAATTCTTTGGGAAATCCTCTCCAATATGATGTAATTTTAACCTCTGGCTGCAGTACTCCTGCAAACACAAAACAATCTCTTGAAATTACAAAGATGATATAAAACCATTCAGAAGATATTTTAATGGCACAAAAGCCCCTGTGACAAAACATTTAAAGAGCAAGATATAATCAACCTCCATACAGTTGGGCTGCTTCATTTGGAGCTTATTTTTGGAACTGAAGCATTGCACAACCTAATTAACCGTAGCCTCTAAACAAGGCAAAACAAGGACCATGCCTGTCGAATGATGGGTGATCCGAATGACTGGGTACTGCCTTATCCGGATTCTACGGAAGATCTGACGAGATTGTACTGCACGTCCAAAGCGTCTCTGCCTCAGAACCAAAGTCTTTGGTTTATAAACTGGATAATTCACAGTTACAACTTTCTTCTTACACTTCTTTGGTTTTTGTTTGTAGATATATTGTTGAACATTGCCACCTATAGGAGAAAAGTAACAGTGAAACCAAAAGTAATACAGTACAATGAAACCTAGTTTTTAAAGACCTAGCCTAACAACTGATAATATTTCACAAATGACAGATTGCAGGAAATTTAAAATAAACTAAAATTTTAACTGCCTCATCCTAATTACATAGCATTCAGTGGATTTGTTTATTTCTGTGTGTTCAGGGAGGTGTCTGGATGGAAATTTAGCTTGTTGCAGCCAAACTGCTAAATGAACAAAGTGGTCCATTAAATCAAACAGAAATAAGTATCCTTCAGTTACTTTGATTTCAAGAACAAATGTGACATGGGGACAGTATTAATTGTTTATATGCAATAAAATGAATGTAGATGCAGTTAGGCAACAAGTAAAATAATATTTTTGATAGAGGAAGGAGCTTAATAGCAGGGGTGGGATACAACAGGGTTAACTACCGGTTCGGGATTTACGAGGTTTGGTGATTTATGATGTGCTTCCCTGCACGCTGTGAGTGAGCCTCACACCTGTAAATCGTCATCAGCATGAAGCAGCCTTTGAAACAGCCCTCTTTTTCTGCTTTTTTAACTGCAGCTGTGCCTCGTTCGGCAGCTGAAGTTGAAAAATCAGGAAATAAAGATCAGGTAACAGCCCGGGTGGGTGGGTGAGCAAAAACGTCAGCAGACATAGAACCGGTTCTATGTCTGCTGCTCTTCAGAGCTACCGGTTCTACGGAGGTGGACAGAACCGGTAGAAACCTACCCCTGCTTAATAGTATTAAACAATAACCAGACTTAAAAATACATATTTAAATTGTTAAGATAAAGCCATTTAAAATCTTTTTATCAGTGAGAATAAAGTAGCAACACCATTTTTTAAGTTTTAAGTTTTTTAAAAAATAAATAAATCAGAATGCTACTTTAATGTTTCCACATTCATGAAATGCCTAATGCTTCTTTGAAATTGACTGCTACTATGCATCATCCCATTGCTTCCCTTTGAAACTACTACTTTCCTGCTGATTTAATTAAGTCACTTATTTGACTTAAAGCATCAAAGACTCTCTTATTATGCTGAATGACAGGTGTACCAGCAAGAGAAAGAAGCCCTTAATGCAATATATTTCAAAGAAATAAGCTTCATTAGTCAGGTTTTAACTGCACCTTCCCACTGATTCCTACTGTATTGCCCCCATTGTGATCCTAGGATAGAAGAGCGAAAAACATCAGGAGCAAATGTTAAGTGTTCTATATGTGAAGTTCATCCCACTGCACAGCTAAAATCCCACTGTGCAGCTACCTTTATTGGGCAGAAGCCATATGGATGCTAGAGGCAAATGATCACTTTACTCACAATGGCAAAAGCATCAATTCAGACTACACAAGGGAAGACCGGTGGTACACCACTCCTGTATTTTTACCAAGATGACCACATAGATAGAAAATATAAAAGGATTTACCACTTCTTTAATGCACCTGATAGACACGGGAAAACAACAGAACCTACCTTCTTTGAAAAAATGCACAGATTCTGGCCTGCTTCTGTAGTGAGCTACTGAAAGAGCTCCGATAATTTTCCCATTCAGTCCTCCAAATCCTTTTACAATCAGCTTAGGATAGCCAGCATCCATTACATCATTGGTGAAGCGCCAGTATTGGGACCCCTGAAAAGTGCAATGCTAGTTGAAGTTACACCAACACCTAAGGCATATGTTGCATTAGACTCTGATGCAACTTGTAATTTGTTCGTAAAGAAATGTAACATGGGGCTTGAAAGATTTTTCTTCTACCGAGAAAATCATGCAAAATTTAAACAAAAAACACTGGAAATGTGTAGCCAAATAAACTATCCGTAAAAATCTAAGGGCTTCTTAAAATATGTAGGCATGATTTACTTAATGCTTTTATTAGCCTCACTACTTATTGTTTTTATTAGCCTTATTACCACTTTTCACAACTGAATGCCAGATTAACAGCACAATTGCAATTCTATATAAATAAATTTAAAGCAATATAAAAGTGGCAGAAAATGCTATTGAAACCGGAATTGCCTTGTTGAAGTATGCATCTGGAATTCTGTTCAGAACCAACCAAATCCCAGAGAGTACAAGACACCACTAAGAATACCTTCCACTGTGTCTTGATGGCTGATTGAAAACCACAGTGAAGTATATAACATGGAAGAAACATCAGTCCAGTTTTGCTTCTAATACAGAAAGTTATAGCTCTCTCTCTCTCTCTCTCTCTCTCTCTCTGTGTGTGTGTGTGTGTGTGTGTGTGTGTGTGTGTGTGTGAGAGAGAGAGAGAGAGAGAGAGAGAGAGAGAGAGAGAGAGAGAGAGAGAGAGAGAGAGAGAGGTGTTTCAGAAGTGCTTTGCAATTGCCTCCTTCCTAGGACTGAGAAGGAGTGACTGGTCCAGGATCACCTGGCTGGATTTATATGTAAAGTGGGACTAATCTTCCTAATTCTAGCCTGATGCCTTAACCATTACAACAAACTGATCCCATTATTTACCCTATAGTAAACTTAGTTTGTTGAAGTTTCTAGAACTAGCATTCTTCAACTTGTTGATCTTCAGGTGGAACTATGAGTCCAGGAATTCCGAGCCATTTCTTCTATTCCTTCAGAGATAGTTCACCAGGAAGAAGGACTACAAACATATATTTTAACAGTGGATTTGAAGTAAGCATAGAGAAACAGAGCATCCCATTTATTATCTTAGGTTACATGGAAGGAATTAGCTTGAATTTTTTTTATAAGCATAAATATTTTCTATAAACAAGTACATGTTAACCTGAACCACCTGTGTTCCTGCTAAGCTAAGTTTATTTGTGAGGCTTTGGGAGCAGGACAGTTTTAAGGCAAATTGGCCTTCAAAATTCCTGGCAATTCATCTTAGAGGATCCCAAGTTAAGACAGTACATCAGAGGTATGCAATTTGTGGTCCAGGGGCTGTCTATGCCCCTGTACACAAGCCCCTGTGCATAATGTACAGCTCCAGAGCCTCTCCAAAAGTTGTCATCAAATTCACAAAGTTTAATAGGACAATTATGTTTTAATTTAGTTTTAATTTTCTTTAAATGCAAAAGATACCAAATGAAATTGTTTTTGTTTTGGTCCCAATTACTTCTTGAAGTGCAGCCCGCATATGACCTTAAAGGGGCCAAGTGTACTTCATGCCTGAAAGTTAATGAACTTTAATGATTTCATTTCATTATGCTTTGTGCAGAGAACTTGATCATGTGTGTTCATGCATACAACTAGACCATTGACTTCTCCAGCAAAGCCACTTCTTTTGATGTCTTCAAAAGTAATCTGTTGATTTGTAACAAGTTGCCTATACTATAAATGAAGTGTGGGAGATTTACCTGATCATCATCTGTTGATCAATAATATCTTGTTTTATGTCACTTCATGTAACATTTCAGGTTTTTTTTTTTAAATTACTTTCAATTTCTTAACTCCTATGGTACCAAGACTCACATTGTGGAAAAGAAATATGACTCACCTTGAAAAAGAAGGTTTTGCCGTCACAGTTACATCTGGAGAACACAGTGTCAATGGGGGAAGGGATATGCCATCCCTCAGAGATTTTACGAGGTTGAGGGGAGGGTGAACTTGTTCCATTTAGCAGCCAGTAATAATGATCTGCAAAGCCAAGTAAATACCAGTGTTATAGAAAGAGAAACAATATATTAATACTCAACTATGAGCCTCTTAACAACATGGCAGATTTCACAGTACATAGAAATTTGTAGCAGATGAATTGGTGGATAGCCCATAATGGCCTGGGTAACTAGTTTGTAGAACTCTGTACAAACATTACCCATCCAGCCTGCACTTGTGCTAAAATATTGTTCCAAACGTTTCTAAACACTACGGGGAATGCTGAGTTTGGGTAGTTTATGAGGGTTGTAAATCATTTCTACTAAAGTTAATGGTTTATTTCTAAGTTGCCCAAATGATCTTGCTCCAATTCTGGAGAGTGCATTCTGAATGTGGCAGTACACATTAGCAGTGCAAGTTTCATTGTAAGAACCATTATGTGAATATATCTTCTGATAAAGTTAGAGAAGGTCTTGATCAGAACTACCAACCACCATATAACTTCACCCTGATCTGGGGCTGAAATATTTACAACAAAATGCATATTTTATTCTGTAATTCTGCATTATTTTGTCCAAAACTTAAGCTCTGTCATGTGCTACTCACCTCTGAACACTGCAAGTGATCCATTTTGTAGAGGGACAATCCCATCTACAGGCTTCTTATTACACAAGTTCATCTCTTCTGGTACATCTAATAAATAATTAACCTTTTTAGTTTTAAAATCCATGTTTGATTTGATTAAAAATGAACCCCAAAATTTCCATCACAGAGAGAGAGAGAGAGAGACAGAGAGAGAGAGACAGAAACAGAGACAGACAGACAGACAGACAGACAGACAGACAGAGACAATGCAATGTTTCCTAAAACTAAAATGCAGTACTTTGAATTAAGGAATAATGCATTGGATTAATATATTATTTTTACCTGAAATAGTTGTGATCTTTCAAAAAAACAAACAAACATGCAACTCATATGATTAACAATGTGCTTAATCCAGATAAGTTATGTAATTTAAAAGAACGCTGCTTGGTATATTATTTTCTATAACATTTCAACTTTTTATATTTAGAAAAATATAGCTGATTCTTGTGTCATTCATTCTGTATCAACTGTGGAAATTCATTGGGAAATTAGATGGGAATAGTGAAGTTCCATTTATTTTGTCAAATATTTCCACGGCACTCTTTCTAATATGAGAATAAATTAGAAATGCTAAAGAAATATGACATTTTGGTAAAGTATTAATCCTCCAATCAGGACCTAAGACCCCCACCTAGCTTTCATGCATAAGTGAAGTGAAGAATTTAAAATCTCCTGGATTCTAAACTAGCACCTTAACTATTATATCAAACTGGTTTTCTAAGTGTATGAGCATTTACCTAGTTTATAATTATTAAATGCTTTTTCTAGTCAAAAAGTTGGCCATTTACCAACTTGCTGGTCTTGGACTTACAACTTCCCCACAGACTTTCTCCAAGCCAGCTTCCTACAAGGAAATTCAACGAGGAAGCCAGCATGAAGTCAGAAGTTGGTTTCACTGCTTTTTTGGCCCACCCATGGTCATTATGTTTCTCTGTTTAGGTAACGATGTATCTCTGAAAAGATGACCAAATGTGTCACGGGTTACCAACATACAACTAAAGCCTTTATTAAGCAACTCGTTAAATATATATTCCATTTAAAAAAATAAGTTTGTTCACTAAGATTAGATCATAATGATAGACCGGTCACAATTCGGGGTGAAATTCAACCTTCTCACACTACCTCAGAAGAGGTGGTAGGGATGATTTGAATCAGTTAGGAGAGGTGGTAGGGACGATTTGAATCGGTTGTTCCCATCCACGTCCGGCCACCTTCTTCTTTTTAGAGACTGAGTCCCACCAAGCCACTCCCACCAAGCCATGCCCACAGAGCCAGTAGAGAAAAATTTTGAATTTCACCTCTGGGTCACATTAATTTTTAAAGAACTGATAGGAGGGCCAAAATGTGTGTGGGGCATGAAAATACCAAACAAACATGAATAATACAGCTCAAGCCCCAAATGCTTAGATGCTTAATTATAGCACTTTAAGAAAGAGATGTTCAACAAAGCTTTCAATGATCTCTTTTGGAGCATGGCAGTATTTTCCAAATATGTTCCTTTCCAAATCTTCAATTTCCATCATGTCCAACCATGGAAGGCTACAGTTAATGGGAATTGTAATATAATGTCTGAGGCCTGAAGCTCATATCTTGATTTAGTCATGAAGTTTGAGGATAATATTCAGGTAATTGCTATTTTTTCAAATTACCCCACCATAAAATACAGGTGGGGGAACAATGTTGAACTTAATAGAAGAAAGGCAAAGTACAATTCAAACAATGGCATAAACCACCTCAACAAATTATGTAACAATTCTCACAAAACATCTTTCCAAATTGCAAAGAAACAATTATCCATCAATAAGAACCCAAGAATAAAATTTAAAAATTCAAAAATAGAGCAGGGCATAAAGAAAAAAACTTCTGGAAATACACAAGATTTTAAGAAAAAAAAAACCCTTGTTTTTAAGGCTATAAGGTTAATTCAAATATATTGGTGCTCCTGAGATCATTATCATTTTGGTCTAGAACATATCTCTTCTTCTTTTAATGAAAAGAAGGGCTAGGGATGACATGATAGCACAGTTCCAATATCTCAGGGGTTTCCACAAAGAAGAGGGAGTCAAGCTATTCTCCAAAGCACCTGAGGGCAGGACAAGAAGCAATGGATGGAAACTAATCAAAGAAAGAAGCAACCTAAAAATAAGAAGAAATTTCCTGACAGTTAGAACAACTTGTCTCCAGAAGTTGTGAATTCTCCAACACTGGAAGTTTTTAAGAAGAGATTGAACAATAATTTGTCTGAAATGGCACCTGAGGGCAGGACGAGAAGCAATGGATGGAAACTAATCAAAGAAAGAAGCAACCTAAAAATAAGAAGAAATTTCCTGACAGTGGAACAACTTGTCTCCAGAAGTTGTGAATTCTCCAACACTGGAAGTTTTTAAAAAGAGATTGAACAATAATTTGTCTGAAATGGTATAGGACTTCCTGCCTAAATAGAGGGTTTGACTAAAAGACCTCCAAGGTCCCTTCCAACTCTGTTATTCTATTCTATTCTATTCTATTCTATTCTATTCTATTCTATTCTATTCTATTCTATTCTATTCTATTCTATTCTATTCTTCCAATCTCCCTAAATAACAGCCCAATCTTCCTACACACAATTCCCCACTGACACATACATCTCAATGCCTTTCAGAAACATAGTTATGTTCAGGCTTATTACACATTATTTCTATCATACAGGGCTCTAATGCAGCGATGTAGATAATAAGAAAATTGAATATACCTTTGTACAATAGCGGTGTAGCAATCTTTTCTGGTTGAACATAGGTTGTAGTCTTGTTGATAATCATCTGTGGAGATATAATTGTGGAAATGGTAGCATCTCTTGGACTGGAGTAATAGGTGACTTGCCTTTGTGTTGTAGGTTTAACAATAGTGGACCAAGTACAGGAATATGATGTAATTTTGTTTGTTGTAGAAGATAGGGTGCTGGAAGTTGTACTTACTTGTGTTACTGTATTCTTGTTAGTTGGGTTTTCTTTTGTGGTTCCTTTATCTGAAACAAGATTAATTTTTTTATTAGTTATTATGTCTGGATGTTCAGGTTTATTTATTTGAGGGGAGGTTGTAGTTTCAATAGTTAATGTCCGAGTAATTTTGGTAATGGTGTCTGCCCTTCTCTTTTTATCATTATCATTTGGGCTAGGTAAACTAAGATTTGATTCTGTTGTGATAGCTGTAGTTTTTGTGGTGTTACTGCCTGGCCTGTCATCTCCCTCAAAATTAGCAGAATTACTTAAAGGTTTAGATTCTGTTGTGACGCTGAAAGTTGTCTGTGTGTCAGTTTGTGCTATTGTTGTCTTGGCAACTGTTGCAGTTGTTTCCAGTCCATTGATAGCATCACTATTGGGAGAAGGTGACTTTCCTGATATATCAATATATTTTCTTATAATATCCATGTTTATTGTAGTTTCTTTTAGTCTCTTATTTTTAACATTAACTTCAGGAATGGACATGTCACTTCTTTGGTCCATTGTCATTGCTTTTATGACTGCAGTCGTTCCAGTTAGGAAGATGTTTCTGTTATCAGACCTGGTTGTACCCATTGGATTAATCTCTGCAATTGTTGGCTTTGTAACTGTATTAAACTTGTCATTGTTTGTTATATCTGGATTAGTCACTGTAATTGTTGTACCTATAACATCACTAATCTTATCCAGGTTGTCATGTCTGATCATATCATCTGGATTGATTATATTATCTGGATCAGTGTGTGTAACTGCTATTTCTGTCACTGCAGTAGTCCCGTCTAGATTGTCACCATAATCATCTTTACCACGAGCAGTTTTGTCCTCCTGATTAGTAACAATTGTTGTGCCTGTAAAAGGCATAGTCTTATCTGGTTTGACATCTGTAATGATATCATCTGGATTGGGTGTACCATTGTGATCAGTCAGTGCAAAGGTTGCAGTTATGACTGTAGTAGTATTGTTCGGATTGTCATGTTTGTCAATACTATCAGGTTTGGTTGAGTAATCCAAATTAGATGGTGAGATTGTTGTTCCCATCACTGCCATAGTGCTGCCTGGATCAACATTTTTATCAATTCTCTCAGGATTGATTGGGGCTTCTGAATTTATTGATGTCATTGTTGTCTCTGTGACTGGAGAGGCTGATTCTGGAATGTCACTTTTACTAATTCCATCAGGATTGGTTGAATCTTCGGAATTCATTGGTGTACTTATCTCTACAAATGGAGTTCCTGTTTCTGAATTCTGATTTATATATATTCCATCGGGATTAGTTTTATATTTCAGATTAGAAGGTGTAAATGTAGCTTTTGTAATTGCAGAGATTTGGTCAGTAATGTCACTTTTATAAATCTCATCCTGACCAGTTGTGTAATCTGAATTTGTTGGTGTCCTTGTGATCGTAATGGCAGGAGCATTTGTTTTGATATTTGGAATAGTGGGTGTAATTATTGATTCTGTCATGGAAAAAAGAATTTCTGGATTGTCCCTTTTAGGGCTGGATTCATCTTGACCAGACTTTGTGATTGCTGTTTCTGTTACTGCTGTACTTCTGTCTGGCTTGTCATTTTTACCAATCCCATCAGTGTTGGTTGTGTCATCTGTTTCTAGATTGTCACTTTTATGACTGGTCTCATCTTGGCCAGTCTGTGTAATGGCTGTTTCTGTCACGGCTGAAGTTCTCTCTGGATTGTCACTTTTATCAGCTACACCAGGACTTGTGTATTCTGAATTTGTTGCTGACATTGTTGCTTCTGTGAAAGCTGTGCTTGTTTCTAAATTTTCACTTTTATGACTGGTCTCATCTTGGCCAGTCTGTGTAATGGCTGTTTCTGTCACAGTTGAAGTTCTCTCTGGATTGTCACTTTTATCAGCTACATCAGGACTTGTGTATTCTGAATTTGTTGCTGACATTGTTGCTTCTGTGAAAGCTGTGCTTGTTTCT